ATAATTGGTATCCTATCACTCAACGTTGGAAAATGACATGAACATAGTTATGGCATGAATAATTATCATACTTATGCTTAAAATTTGCTTATATCGTTCTCCTTTTTGTTGATGACAAAGGGGAAGAGATATATGAATTTATGCTATAAGTATTGATGCTATGATTATACCATGCTTGCGTCATCAAAAATATATGAATTGATGATAACTATGATTGTCATATTTGCATTATGCCATGTTTACATCATGTTAAGATATCAAGAACTTGCATCGTAATTTTACGTGTTGATATCTTACCATGTGATGAAATGCTATGATTGCTAAAACACTTGAAATGTGTGTATCATGTTAAGATATCAAAATCTTACTTCAAAATTTTACATGTTGATATCTTACCATATGATGAATTGCTACCATTACCATCATTCACATTTGAAATTTGAAAATGGATGTCAAGCTTTGACATCATTTTCAGAGAGATACATCATGATGGGGGTACTGATAAGGTTAAATGATTTGAACTTATCAATATGTCTCTTGAATTCAAAGGCTTTGAATTCAAGAATGACTTATCTCAAGTATGGCATATAGATAGGGGGAGTTAAGGTTAACTCCGTTATCAATTGATTGTCATCATCAAAAAGGGGGAGATTGTTGAAATTTGGATTTTGATGATGAAGTCAATTGTCATTTATTATCTAATCCATATGTTGAGATAAGTGTGCAGGATTAACTACAATGAAAGTAAGACATGCAGTAGGAGTTGCGCCGGAGTCAAGACCATGATCACGTTGGGAGTTTGACGGAAGTCCGGACGGTCATCAAAGGTTCTACGGGAACAAATTCGAGAAGTCCAGAAGCTTGCCAAAGAAGCCCGTCGGAACTCACCAAGTGGATCATCGCAAGTCCAAGAGTTTGTCAGAAGTCTGCCGGAGCATCACCGAAGGTTCGTCGGATGTTCGCCGGAAGTTCACAGGAAGCTCGCCGAAAGAAGCAATTGACGCACCAGAGCAAGTTGCAGTAAATGTCTTAAGAAATATCGTAGTTAGCATGTAGATTAAGTTAGGAAAGGGAGGACCCATTAACTTAATCTGGGGGCAATTGGGCCCTTGACAGACCCAAATTGGGTTGAATGGATCAACCCATTCGGACCAGAATTACTGCCAAGCGGTGGCATCGCCCAGGAGATGGTCTCTCAGGAAAGCAGGGTGGTGCAACTGCCCTAGTTAGGCGGTGGCACCGCTTGGGCTCAATCTCCGAGTGAGACTAGGCGGTGCAACCGCCCCTAACAAGCAGTGGCACCGCTTGGGCTCAGTCTCCGAGTGAGACTGGGTGGTGCAACCGCCCCTGACAGGTGGTGGCACCACCCAAAGGCTCAGTCTCCGAGCTGCCAGGCGGTTATACTGCCCCAGTCAGGAGGTAGTATCACCAGGACCCCGGAAATCCGAGAAAAGATATTTTTGAGCTCCAAATTCAAACCAGTTTGGGGCCTATATATACCCCACCCTTTCCTGCATGAAAGGGCACCGAAAATCTAATCTTACTCTGTGATATTTAGAGCTCAAAAGTGTTGTAAAGGCTAGAAGTTCTCCTCCCTCTTTTCTTCCAAGTTTTGATCTTTCAAGAGAGGAGAGAAATTTCTGTAAGGTTTGTCTCCTAAGCCCATCAAAAGGAGTGAAACTGTAAAAGGGTAGTTGGCCTTTGCCTATTGAAGGAAGGCCTCTAGTGGACGTCGGTGACCTCGTTGGTGGAGGAAGTTAAAGGTGGATGCAGGTCAAGATTGACCGAACCACTCTAAATCTCTGTTCACATTTACTTTGAGCATCTTATCTTTACAGCAAACCTCCTTAGTAGCTTACTGCCTTCTACTCATTTATGAATGTGTTTTATAGTTAAGTATTTTCCGAATCGGCGTTAAGAGGGAAATCGATTTTATCGTACGAACATTATATTTCAGTTTGCGCTTACATTCTTATTTTCATCATAACTGCAAACTGCCTTTATATCTTTGCTTTAACTGCATCTAGCTTGATCACAAGTTAAAGTGATTTACGAATCGACTTTCATACCGAAATTGCTTTTATCATACGAACGTCGTATTCCAGTTTGCTATACATTCTATTGTCTATCTTAACTGCAAACTGCCTCTATATATTTGCTTTAACTACATCTCGCTTGATCATAAGTTAAAGTGATTTACGAATCGGCTTTCTTACCAAAATAGCTTTTATCATACGAACGCAGTTTTAATCGTCGAAAGTTTTCCGCTGCACTAATTCACCCCCCCCCCCTCTTAGTGCTCTTGATCCTAACAGATTTTTCTAATTTCTATAGATTTTGAACTATGGAACATTATCGAAAATGATTTTCAAAAGTCTTCTCTTCCAATGAACGATTGGAATGAGTTAGAGAAGAAGACTTTCACTTTAAACGCCAAGGCTATGAATGCCTTATTTTATGCTTTAGATAAAAACGAATTCAATCGAGTGTCTATTTGTAAAATAGATTTTGATATATGGCACACACTCGAAGTGACACACTCGAAGTGACTCATGAAGGCATAAGTAGAGTAAAGGAGTCGAAAATTAATCTTTAGTCCATACTTATGAGTTGTTTCGAATTAAACCGAGTGAGACCATCGGAGACATGTACACCCGATTTACGGATATCGTCAATGGTCTTAAAGGACTTGGTAAAAGTTTCTCGGATTTTGAACTTGTTAATAAAATCTAAAGAACTAATCGGGTCACTAATGACCTATGAGATGACTTGTAATGCTCATGAAGGGCTTGAGAACAAACTCCCAAAGAACAGGAAGGATATGACACTAAGAACTCAAGAAGACCACTTGAAAAAGGACTTGGTAAAAGTTTCTCGGATTTTGAACTTGTTAATAAAATCTTAAGATCCCTTCCAAAGAGTTGGGACCCTAAAGTAACGGTCATTCAAGAGGTCAAGAATTTAAATAACTTTTCTCTCGAAGAATTAATCGGATCACTAATGACCTATGAGATAACTTATAATGCTCATAAAGAGCTTAAGAATAACCTTCCAAAGAGCATGAAGGATATGACACTAAGAACTCAAGAAGACCACTTGAAAGAAAATTCAAGTGATGACGACTATGATGATGACTTGGCACTCTTGACAAGAAAGTTTAAAAAATTCATAAAAAGGAATAAATTTAGAAATGACACTAAAAATAAATTTGAATTCAAGAAAGAACAAGTCATATGCTACGAATACAAGAAGCTGGGATATTTCAAAAGCAAATGTCCCTAAGCAAAGAAAAAACAACCAAAGAAGAAGAAGACTCTTAAAGCAATGTGGGACTCAAATGCATCCAAAGAAAAAGAGCAAACCAATACCGAGCAAGTTGCTCACTATGCGCTAATGGCCATTGGAGATGAGATAAGTAGTTCACTAGATACAAATTTATCTTTTGATGAATTACTAAGTGTCTTTCATGATTTATTCGATGAATGTAAATTAGTTAGTAAAAAATATAAATTGTTAAAAAAGGAGCATGCCTCTCTTGTCAGTGATTATGATAGACTAAAAATTGAGCATGATGATAGTTTAGCTCCTTGCATAAAATGCAATCAATTAGAAACGCTTAGAAAGGAAAATTTACTACTCAAAGAAATCTTAGAAAAATTTGAGGTTGGGAGCAAGTCCTTGAACATGATCCTTGCAAATAAGGGTCACGTTCATAAAAGAAGTGGAATTGGATTTGTGAGTAGCTCTCTCCAAAATCCAACCATCTTTGTTAAAAGCCTTACCTTGCATGTTTTACTCTAAAATAGATGCAACTTTTATTAAAAATTTGGACATGTTACGTACAAATGTCCATTTAAGAGGTATAGTCTATGTAAATTGATTTGGGTTCCTAAAGGAACCTCAAATGACTCAATGCAACATAATAAGTTGTGTAGATCGATTTTTAAAGCACCCAAGGTCAAATAGGTACCTAAAAATCACCCTTTTTTGTAGAAATATTTACCATCACAAGCTAGGAGGAAGATATGGTACCTTGATAGTGGATGCTCAAGGTATATGATCGGAGATCCATCTCAATTATCTAAGCTCACTAGCCTTGATGAAGGATATGTCACCTTCGGAGACAACAGCAAGGGTAAAATCGTTGGCAAAGGAACCATAGGTAACAAATCCAACTTCTTTATTGAAGATGTGTTATTGGTTGATGGCTTAAAGTATAACCTTTTAAGCATTAGTCAATTATGTGATAAAGGATACATCATTATATTTGAATCCAATGCTTGCATTATTGAAAATCCACACAAAAACATATCTATGATTGTCCTAAAACAAAATAATATATACACTATCGACATTGATGATCTTTGTAATGAAATATGTTTTTCGATTTTAAATGATGATGCTTGCAGCATTATTGAAAATCCACACAAAAATATATCTATGATTGTCCTAAAACAAAATAATATATACACTATCTACATTGATGATCTTTGTAATGAAATATGTTTTTCGATTTTAAATGATGATGCTTGGCTTTGGCATAGGAGATTGGGTCATGCTAGCATGAAACTAATCTCTCAAATCTCATCTAAAGAACTTATAGGAGGAATTCCTCACATTAAGTTCGTTAAAGACAATGTGTGCATGTCAACTAGGAAAACAAATATAAGGTAGTTTCAAGCCAAAGAACCAAACAAGCACCTCTAGACTATTGCAATTAATCCATATGGACTTGTTCGGACTAATTGCTATATCAAGCCTAGAAGGTAGTAAATACGTTTTTGTCATCGTGGATGATTATAGTAGATATACTTGGACTTACTTTTTGGCACACAAAAGTGATTGCTTTAGGCACTTTTCAAAGTTTTGTAAACTTGTTCAAAATGAAATATGTTTTATGATTTCATCAATTTTAAGTGATCATGGTGGTTAATTTTAAAATCGTGATTTCTAAGAAATTTGTGAATCTAATGGATTCAACCATAATTTCGCTACTCAATTTATGTTAAAAAAAACATGAGAACCACTTTTAACTTTTGCCCGGCAATATCAGATTGCTTCTCAATAAGGTTTTTGAGAACAATGAGTAAAAAGTCACCCTGAAAGAAGTACAAGGAACTAGTAAATTTCATGCGAAAAAAAAATGCAATCTTTCACTCAATACTTATCTAAGCTCCTTATTCCATTAAACAATATAACATTTATTAAGTTTTAAGAACGATAAAATCAAGACAATGTATAACAACATTTCATGTATAGGATTGATAATAAAGGAAGCTTAGGCAAAGTGAACAAGAACAATACCATTATAAACATATAAACAAACCAATAAGTCATATCACATAAGTAAATATATCAACACAACGAAAGAAGTCAAGAACAATATAACCATAAAACAAAAGATTAGAAAAGAAAAATATTTTAAAAGTGGAAGGCTTTAGCAAATTGAAAGGAAGAAACTAATATATGTATCCATATAAAATTTACACACATATTTGTGTATATAGTATATACAAAAATATTGCATTCAGCAAATATGCAATTACATTTTTACAAGGATGAATCTATTGGCCAAATGATTCACTATTATAAGAAAGGAGTCAAGTGCAACCCAGACACCCAATGATAACCCACAGGTGGCATCCAAAAGTTCCACACATCATGTCATGGACATGCTACTATTATTGATTGAAGAAAGAAAGAAAGGAAGAGGGAAAAAGAGAGGGGGGAATAGAAAAAAAAGGAGAGAACATAAAAACATAATCAAAACATGGCTATACAGTGCATTTTGATAGTTAGCTTTAATGGCTGGAGATGGGTCAAGCATCTAATAAAGAGTTGAAATTACCCTCTCGATCACAAATGTAATGAGGAAGTGTTGAAAAATATTATAGCCATTGAAGATGGTAAATTTACCTTGCTATTTCTTATTTTTCGATAGATTTAAATTTTCGTTCCCTTTTCTAAAAAAATTTGATTAAGAAAAGAGTAGGGAAGAGCAAATTGGACTATATCATTTCTTGTCAAAATAGTTAGCTTCAGTTCATGTTGATGACAAAAAACAACACATTGATCCATGGTTATACAGGTGTAATTGGATCACCATGACCAGTACCTATCAGGTTTATGACAGCCTTGTAGCAAGGCATGCTCGAATGACTAGCTGTGCAGCGCCCATAATGATCAGTCCACATAATGATCACTCAGCTTAAGCCATGTAGACATTCACAAGATTGTTAGGCCCTCACCTAGGCATGTTCACCTGGACACCCTCTTTGATAGCGGGTGTGACAGCATAGTGATGATAAAGTGGGTACAGGAGAAGGTAGAAAACCAGAGTCGGAAGAAGTGATAGGGAGAGGGTGATTCAATCAGGAGGCCAGAGGAGGGGGAGGGCCGAGAAGAGTAAGGGGTGGACTATGAGGACCAAGATAGAACAGAGAAGGGTAAGGCTAAGCAGTGGCTCTGGAGCAATGTGATGGTGAGAGCTCAGTTGAGTCATGTCAATTGAAATTTGTGCCAAACACATGGTGGGTCACATACTAGGAAAAGCCCCCTCTCACATGCCCAAGCCAGGCCAGCCAACCTTTAGCCTAGCAGAGCTGATGTTGGACCCTGGGGATAGTCTCAACATGACATTGTAGCAGGAAAGATGCACCTGACTTGAAGCAGGTCATGCCAAGCCACGGCCACCCATGGGCAAATCACAGGTCATGCCAAGCCACGGCCACCTGACTTGAAGCAGGTCATGCCAAAAGTGATCGTTCATGAACTTCATCAACTATCACATGTGTGATACCAGCCAAGTCTTTATTTACCTGTAAGAACCACATGATGATGACTAACCAAATTGGCATAAAATACACATGCTTTTCTTGTATATAGCAATTAATATAAAGGACAACGGCATATGAATGATTGGGTAGGTACACTAATCTTCATCATAGTAGCATAAGACTGATACTAATTTTCTCTGTTATTTACCCCTTTAAGAGATTTTGCACAAGTCATGTGACACCTCCATCCTCTTAAAGATAAGACATAACAAACAGAAAAGACTGGATTAAGCAGGTGCGAAGTTTATGAGGATGTCTTATAACAAGGACATTGAAAAAGAAAGAAGATGGCCACAGCCCACAAATATAGCTTGCCATAAGACAATACCACAAATAAGAGTCTGAAGATTTCAGCAAAATACGTGAATAATTAATTACTGTGTATGATGAGAAGAATTAAGGTTTGGAAAGCAAGAATCTCAGGTGTTTGATCAGTAGTGCAGCCTTCAAGCAGACTGAATAATCCCTTGAAGATACAATTTAATGTTCCCTGTTCATGTAATACTTTCCAAACTCTCTCTGATGAAGTCACTTATCTTATGAGTTTTTAAGATGTACACCAGTAATTTTTAATTTCTGCTCGTTTTCAACAGTAGTGATAGACTTATTGGGGACAGGAATCATCCTTCAAAATTATTATTCTTTTAGAAGCAAAAAACTATAACCTCCGACCTTATCACAGGATTCTATCAACTCAAATCATAATCTCAATTTCGATTCACAAATTATGCTATCCAAATTCACTTCCTCATTGAGCATATACATTAGTGGGATAAGATGGCCCAAACAACTCCACACTCCTTCCCAGTTTTGGATGTCATCCAAAACATATAACATGTATACATTAAGAAATTTTTTTTCTTCTATTTGGGACTATTATCACCAAGGGCTCCAATTCAATACTATCCAACTATTGACCGTACAAAGTTCCATACGATATGTTATTGTTGAATGGTCAACCATAAGTCCAATTAGGATCAGGACAAAGTTATGATCAATGCCAAATACATATAGACATTGTGTATGTATGATGGATGCAATTGAAGTCAAAGGAGCAAATCTTACAGCCAGCTTCCTGAGAAGGATTCCTGTTGTACAAAACAAAAGTTTTGTCTTCTCATTCCTGGAAAAGTACATCCATAAGACTTAAGAAATTGTACTATTTTGCACAACAATAAAAGTAAAATTCTCCAAAGTAAGAAAGCGGTAAAAATTAAATATAAATGCAATAAATTAGTCACCATTTCAATAAATCAAAATCTGTTAAAGCTTTATACTCAACAAAGCATTAATTCAGTAGACATCAATGTATCACCACAAACAGTACACAAATGAAAGCATCTTTGATTTACACAGATCAAACATCCACCTGGAATATGGCCCTTCTTCCTCCCTTTTTATGCATTAGACTGATGCTTCTGCAGGTGCACACTCTGATCATTAACCCAGTACAAAAAATTGGAGTATTAAAATCTACGTTTTGCTGCCTCAACATCTCAGCAAATTACTTAACCGAGGTATAATGAATATCAACATAGAGATCAAATATCTAATATTAAATTTCACACATTTGTGATTCTGAAGAAAGTTTTCTTTAGCTACCTCTATTCAGGGATGAAATGAAGAGAGTCTCTAATCATTCATGGACATAGAGATTCATCTACCTCAATTTAATGATTTGGAGTTTCTTAAATCAAGTTTACAGATTTGGGGATCTATGTATCTAATTAATGAAACTCAGATATCCATACAGTTCAAAGGCATGGAGGTCGATAAACCTAGATTGGAGACTTCTATCCAGTCTACATTGACCAAAAGGTTAATAGATATAGTGCAATATCTCATTTGTATTGTCCATCTAGTATCATTTTAAAAATAAAGTAAATTAATATCAACCGATATCAAGCCGTGTTCTTGGTCGGACCAATAACTACTAACAATCCTAGTTTGTATGTATTGGCCTAACAGACATTTAAAATCATGCCATGGTCAACTTATTGTTTGTTTTATCGAGAGGCACAAGGTGATGGCGTTATTATTAAAACAGGATCAAATTACAGGCAAGATCAATAAAGTAAATTAAGGAGAAAGGATTTGCCAATCTGTCAGTCCCCATCTCAAACCTATGGCTTATTTGGACTCCAATACTACGTACAAACTACAAACTACGTATTTTGCACCTTGCTAAAAGTCAGCAAATCACCCAACATACTGGTACCAATATCAAACTAATATTTTAAGCCTCAGTCCAAGATTTAAATATCAACTGTACCAAATAGTACAAATCCATATTTACTGGTTTGACAACTAACCAATACATGAAAAAAGCAATTTCAGTCAGTTCAGTTTGGGTCGATCGTCCTGTAAGGTTACCTTATTGAGCACACCATATAGTAAGACTGTAAGATAACTACTACCAAACTGTATTAAATTTTATAATTTTTATTTTTAAATATCGGCTCGAGGGGAGGTGTTGATAGCTTTCAGCAGCTATCAATCAGTCTCAACATATAACAATCTGTTGAGATAACATAACTAACTTAGTCTAAAACACTAACCCAAAACACTAAAGATTTTAGCAAACTCATCTAGTCCTGTAAACCAACTCAATTTTGAAACTAAACTAGAACGTCATACAACAGCTTTCTCTCCTCTCACTCCCCTCCATCGCATATGTCTCTCTACCTTCACCCCCGTCATTGCATCCACCTCCTCTGCTGTTGCCACCTCCTCGCTTCACTGTCGTCAACTCCTTTGGCAGGCATTATAACCTCTTATGTTCTTTTACCTTGTTTCCTCTTCTTCTCCCCTCTTTTTCATTCTTTCTCTGTGGTCCAAGTAATACCAACTCATATCGAGTCTCATCACATCAATCCGTACAAGCATGTACATACTCGACCGCCATCAATATCAGCACCAGACTGAGATTCATGATTCATTTGATCTATTATTAAAACCAAACTCTAAAATCTTGCATACCCTGAAACTTGTTAATAATTGAACATAAGTTTTCGTTTTAAGTTAACAAATAAAACATTAAATTATTGATGCATACATGTGCCCCTATTAACATCAATTGCTTCTTGGAAGTTGGAACCATGTCAAGGGAATTCTTTTGCACACAATCATTCTCAGACCTCATCATGATCATGACCGAAATAAATACAAAGTTCCTCTTGTTCAACATCACTAACTACAAGTATTGGCAATCTCCACTTCTAGAACTATCACTAGTAAAGAGTGATTTTTTTTGTTAGAACAGCTAATCAAATTTTGGCTGGAATACTGTAGGAACATAAAGTTGCTCGGTTTGTTTGAGTGTCACATAAAATATGATGCAAACTATTTGAAATTCAATGGCATTGACTGTACAGCCAAGATGTATGAGTCAAAGAGTAGAAGTAGATAGTAAAGTATGGTTGTAATGCAAACAAAGAATCCAACTACCTAGTGCCAAAATGCCATTGTAACCAAATAATGAATTCCACATTACCATGAAGTGTGTTATCACTAAAATATAGACAAATGCATACAAAATCACAGACATTATTCACGGCAAGACCTACCCAAATATTTGATGAAAGGACAAAGATCTTTTAGTGATCCACACTAGTGAAGATTATAGACCAAAATGACAAAGACACTAATAAAGTATAGCACCTTGCAACGTCAAGGCGTACTTGATAACCAACCAATGAACCGTCACTACCAGGTGAAGGCTCACATCGCTCATCCGACACTCTTTCTGCCACAGAGATAGCCTGCATACGTAAACCTTAGTTTCTGATGTTCATACAAGGGAACACTATAAATACTACAAGAACAAAACCAGAAACATTTCAATCCAATGTAAGCGGCTAACAGCAATGTTTGGCTCAAAAAAAAGGTGAAAATCAATATCTATCCTCTGTATACCCCTTCTTCAAGCCACTTACAAGCCAACAAACGTGGCATGCAACACATCATGTCAAGACTCAAGATCACCAGAAAATTTCTAGCATTTGGACCCAAATAAAAGTATGTCCACTCCATACCATAGATTATCATTTAAAATCGAATTTTAGTAGATCCTGGCCTGTTTACCAAAGGTCCATTCATCTAAATGATGAAGCAAACTATGGCAAGAATCTCCATGTAGATCAAGACCTTATCAATGATATCCCATTTATCAAAGTCATAATTCAATTTTCAATTGTTAACTACAATCATAAAAGAACCTCCCTTCTGCATTAAGAACCAGAAAGAAGATTGTGGGTCCACATTTTCATAGTTGACAACGAATCTTGTTAATCATAGTTCAGTGTATCAGTCAATTACAGCACATGTTTTCACCTAACCAGTAGTAATATCAGCCCAGATCAATCTGATTTCATAGGATTGATCTTCATAAGATCAAGCACGAAAATAGAAAACAAAGGCAGAGGATTTGGACCATAGAAGAAGTATCTGGATGTGTGATACAAGAGAAAAATAGGGATTATAATTGTGCACACCAAATTGTATATTTAGCACAAGCTGGAAAGGTACAAGTCATATAGTGATTGAGCCAGAATTTGAACTCAGGTACCCATGAGATAAAATTGAAGGTACACCTCTCAGTGATACAGTGTATAACATGGTGTGATCATCACTTCTAATTCTCATAAATAAGTATCTTTTCCAGAAAACAAGAATTATGAATATTCATGCCGCTAATCTTCTGGGTTGTGTGCACACTATGTTACAGTATCCACCGAGACCTGATTGGATCATGTCATCCAAAATGAATTGAGGAACCTACAAAAGGTTACATAGTCAGATAAAAGATGCTGCAATATTTTGTTAAAGAATAAGAATGAGAAAGAAAATTCATATGTTGATGAAAAAATTAAGTGGAGACTCAGATCCCTAATGAAACAAAATGCTTCCTAATTATAGAAATAAGAAAAGAATGGAAAAGCCAACTCATTGCAGTGGAACCCTAGGAGTGTCCACTTCATGGGAGGCCGAAGAGGCAAAGTTAAATGCCAAACACAAATAAATACTAACGATCTCAGGTACGAAATTTTCTTTTCAAATAAATATTTTCCTCATCATTTTATGCATAAATTGGTGGCATAATGCACCAGCCTGAACCATTTAACACCCAATTGAACCCCCTACACCACCATAACTTCAAAACTTGTTATTAGTAGCATGCCCCATCCAACGTGACACTCAAGATACAATGTGATATATGTGACACGAGCAGCAATTTTACTTTATGGATAAAAAGTTTCGTTTCATCATGAACCCTATCACATGGTACTACCTCTGGGAAAATATATAAAAAAAAGTCATAAACATGTGATAAAGAAAAAACAGGTTTAGGACCTCTTAAGCAAAGCTACAAATACATTTCTGCCATGCATGTTGTATATACCATACCAAGTCAGAGGAGCATGGGTCGTGCCACTACATAGAACCAGCTATAGACATAGCCTACATAATACCTGTTTTCAAATCCGCTGTCATAAACCATGCTAGTGTTTGAGAAATAACAGCAAAGCATAACACATAAAATATAATTCATAACTATAAAGATCAATAGATACATTCTTATTCACAATAGCTCAAATCATAAACTAAAGTTATTAAATAAGGAAATAAGTAACATATGCACCTATAAAAAAAAATGAAGAATCACTTTTGACCCAAAATGAATCAATTCATGTTGGAAGTGTCCAGTATGTCAGATCCCAAGGATAAATGACTGATCTACTCATACAAAGCAATTTACATAAAGAACTTTCTTTGGCAGATTATCACACTTTTATGGTTGTAGCATGAACCATGAGTTGTAGCATGATTAACACACTTTCTTTGGCAGATTATCACACTTGTATGAAATATAATCACAAGAAACAATGTGGGGTTGTAGCATGAACCATGAGTTTTTGCAAAGTGAAACAGTTTAAACCAAAAAATTACTTTTTTGAATAGAAGTTACAATTTGCAGAAGAATACACTAACAGAAAAAAGGGAAGAAAAGTTCGATAAACATACCAGAAATCCCAGTTTCACATTTCTTTTTTATCAAAAGGGGTAGTTTGTAACAAGGTCTGTCATACTGAAGCGTACCGCCTGTATCAGGCGGTATGTACCGATCCGACAGGTTACCGATATGTGGACCGTCCGATACTGTTACAGTGCTATAATACAGTATTATACTGTAACACTGGTACCGGAGTAAAATTATTTTATTAGGCAGGTATATCATACCAACTATCAAGATGAAATATATGTAATACATATAGGAACAATGACAAGGAATAGCATATATATTTACAAAAATTTATGAAGTACCTGTGTTGTTTTTCCACAACCTGTTTCTCCACAAACAACAATCACATCATTCTCAACTAGCAATTGTAGAATATTACTCTTAAGCTTAGATATAGGTAAAGAATCTCTAGCTTCCAGAATATTCTGTGTTAAAAACATGAAATGCAAATTAAGTGTTCAACAAAATTATGTGCATGAGAACATAAAGTTATGTAATAACTTTATTATGTGTATTTCATGAGAACATAAAATTATGTGTATTTCATTGATAATAACTCAGTAAATTATTATCTCTATAATAATTCACTCGACTCATCGATTACGGACGTGCTAGGCCACTACGCCGTAGTCCTCAGACGATACAGGGGAATCCAATCCTTTGGACTTGTCTGTCCTCAGTTACCGTGTACCTATAGTCCCTCATCCATCTAATATCCCAAAGACCGTATATCGAGCATGGTGCTGTCAGACCCATACGGTTTCTACTCGAGTCTCGCTCTAATCGGATTCTCCCGGAGAACTCTTTCTCTCTCAACCTGAATGACCCTAGCTAGGGATTTGTCTGAGCAAGAACACATGGGATATTCCTCTCATTACGCCGAGGGT